GGAGTTGCTATTTTGCCCCTGACGAAATATAGTTTTCATAGGCTCACATTCTGAAATAACCTCCATCCCCGAAACGAATAAGAAGACTCTACTCAGCATCGGGAAAATAAGCTGTATCCACCAACCGGCTCAGTGTGTATAGAAGCCACGTGTTTACATGATCAACTTATTTCACCTCGACTGTCTACATTAGCGGTCAAATTTGATCTCGTCATGTGCTAAACCCCAGCGAACCAAAGTGTGGAATAGCGAGAGGTGGCAGTGGAAAAGAGACGGGGGGGGGATCACGGTGTAACGCAATTAGCGACCTCAAAATTACGGTAACTCGACGCTCCGAACGGATCCATCCCCTTTCGCCCTTTCGCTCATCCAACCAACACTACCCCATAGAGTGAAAGGGCCAGTTCACTGGTTAACATTGGGGGTTGAACACATCCAACCAGCTGAACATTCAAACATGCAGGTAGGGCGAACAGGGGCATAAAGCTTTATCGACTGCCCTAGTGTTTCAGGGTGGTATTTAATCAGTGACGAGAAAAGTGGCATTTATACGACCGAGGCTGAGATATTATGACGTTTATAAGCCAAATACACCAAAACTCCTGTTTATCCAATAACATACATGAATACCAATTCCGAAACAGCTTTATCTGCCAGGTGATATAATCTCGATTAATTATGTTCACTGATACGTCTTCTATTGTAAACCTTACTGTAAAGATAATCCCACGATAGACATTCGTTATATATTTATTTATTAATACAAATAATTGTCATGACATAAATTGTAAAATAATGTACAGGAATAGACCGTGATATTGCCAGCTATTCTGTTATCAGGTGAGGGGATTCAATGACATCGAATGGGAATGAAATTGACTTTTATGTGACTGGCGAGAATGGGTGAAGCCACGGGAAATTAATGGTCCAAACACTCGTCCCCAATAAACATTGGAACCGGCTTCTTCCCGAATACTGATTTTTGCTCTAAACCGCTGCGACTGGCAATAGTGCGGATTTAATAACGCTGTTCTAAATGCAGAGGTTATATAAAGTCACATTATAATCATGAACGTTCAGCACATAAGGATTACCAAGGAATTCGTGGGCATTCTAATAGAGGGACTGAGGAAAACAACATAAGGACTGATTCAGAAAAGGCAGCGATCCAGACGACAGTCGAACGCAATTACCTCAACACCTATTTGCACGGTGACGTAAACTTATTATATTATTATTATTATTTAGTGTTCTGTCTGAGGACAGGTCCATATGAACAGGATCCTTCCATCCTTTTCTCGGCCTGGGACCTGTTCATATACGTTCTTGGCAGATGATCCAGAAGTGGTTTGCCATTGCCTTCTTCTGTGTGTGAATGGAGTAATTGTTGGGATGCCACGGAGAAACCGGGGAAGCCCCCGGAGGAAAACTCCGTGTTGCCTAGACCACGGCCTTGCCATATTACCTCAAAACAATGTCTGGATAAGTAATCTTGTCAGTAAACGACAGCATCAGTGGAGTAAAAGACAGAAACACGCTCTAAATTCCCCATGCCTAGGTTATCAGATATTAAGATATCTGCTCTTCAGGTCATCTGTTCCAGTCTGAGAAATATAATTAGACGACATCAAGCGCTCATAGATAATACTTCTCCGAATAAGTGCAAGTACAAAAACGCTTAGGTGTGGTGCAAAAAATTGCAAACAAAACATATGATGATGATGAACACCAAGCGACAAGACAGGATAAAAATATGAAGTGGATACAAAGTCTGAAAAAGCAAGATAAATGTATCCGTAAAAATAAAATCTAGTTTATGGACCACGTTTTAACGAATGTTTAAAGTTTCGACACGCGCAAAGCGACACTGATAATATCTTCACAGAACGTTCCAAAAAGAGAAGGGCCTAAGGTCAAAACGTTGTTACATGAATCCCGGAGGAAAACCAAAATTCTGAGCATTAAACATCGTAAGCTGCATTTAACAGCAGACAGGCTAGATCAGTGGTCCCCAACAACGTAAATTAAGAACTGAAAATTCTAGAAGTCGCTATATAAAATGAAGCGCTATTTTAACCGGTGGTTGGAATTAGTGTGGAAATTACAGAAAAACACAGATGGTTGTATTTTGGGTTGTATAGCCGCGTAGTCTGGAAGACGTTTACCAAAGTTTCAGAGGTCCTTGCTACCTCCATCATCAGGACGATGATGTAAAATCATAACCATGACAGCCGGTAATGAAAGTTCGCCCCTTACATGCAAGCCAGATACGCTATGAGTCCAGCTGCCTTGCTGAGTAACGTGATTAGAACACCACAGAAAACAGATTTGTTAACACTGCCATCGAAACGAAACCCTGCGACGGCGATAGAAAATTCATGAAAATTGCCCTTCGAGTGGACACGAAAAAGAGAGTTAATACTCGAGTTTTTTGAGCGTACATTTCGAATCATAAAAGGATTCTCAGATTTAAGTTTAGAGATTAATTACTTTAACGACAGTTGTTTTGTTTATTTTTTTAACTTTTGATGGGTATCACTGTCAAATACAGACTTGAACGATTCATGTCAAAAATTGACATCAATTGACAGCCCTCATTAATAACGATGTCAATGACACTTGCGCGTGTCAATATGAGATCTCTTTTTGCCGTCTGTCGGGTGATGAAGCCATCATCACTCCAAACATATCACCACATTCCAGCTACATGTCCGGCTAGACAATTACAATATAAATATTCCACCGGTAAAATATATACTGTGCCTGTCCCTATGTTTTGCTAAGCACAATTCCAAGAAAATACGCGTATTGGTGGAGTGGAGGTATAGCTCCAATCCTTCTTGACCTCCAAAATAGATGATGAGTGGTCAGCATCACGCTCCGGCCAAATTACCCAACCACTGGGCAGTAAGGTGTTTAAGCCCCAAAACCCCGGTCTGGACAGTCATTGCTCCTCCAGGAATCGAACTCTGGTCGTCTAGCCCGTAGTCTAATCACTAGACCTTTGCATACTATTAATAGCACAGTTAACTGTAATATCATGTTGTTTATGGCAGATAGTCTTCAGACGTGTTCAAGTACATTCTAGAGTCATGCCACACTGACTAGCTGGATTAGTGTTGCACATTTAGAATCTTTTTAGCCATCCGCCCAACCACCAATCTGGAGAGCCACCCCTTGTCAGCTGTCTTAGACTACTTATTACATAGCTGAGGACGTGGTGTGACAGAACTTTTCTAAATTTTCATGAGCGTCTTTACAAATCGCGTGCTAGTAACAAAACAGCCTAACCAACTTCGGATCACGTGAAGAATGAAAATCTACAGAAACATCACGTAATTTTATACAGATTAATGTCTGAAAATAAGAAACGCTTTGAGGCACTCAGCGACAGGGAATATGAAGACACCTTTGGGTCATAAGCCGGGAACAACAACGAATCCTGGTGTGAACTTCGTTTTTTCAAGGAACGTCTTACGTCACATTCACGATACGTACGGGTCACTGTAGCTTTGTCCGTCTTCTTCCGTTTTTGTTTACATTTACGGTCCCTGCCACTGAAATAGACTGCCCGTGCCATTTCTACACTTAGATGCCCACTTTTCAATTCAAACAGAGAGCCATCCCACAAACTGTTTTGAAAGACGTCATTTTTCCGAACTCTGTTCCCCCTGATTGTTTTCATTTCGATTAAACTATCCTTCAATCAAAATGACAGACCCAGTATTTCAAACACAGGAAGTCTCCCACCACTATTAACTAGAGGCACATTCGATGTTCAAAGCACAAGATCGTATGAAGTACTTGTATTTACAAATTCGTCTGACAGAAAAAAGCTCTAACAGTCCTGTGGATCCGTTATCTGCGTATTCTCCACAATTCGGCTTCTTTTAAGATATTTGGCGTTGTTAGAACCATGAGTTCTATTCCTGTATCTGACGTGTTGCCCTCATTTAGCTATCCTAAAGTGATTCATATGATGTCTCTGTACTCGGTTCCAATTAAATGACTCGTAAATAATGAATCCCCGCAAACCATATTTAAACTGTTCGTGACTCATTAATTCCTATTATATCCGTTTTAGCTCTTAAATGACCTAAGTGTTCTACTTTAATCTGTCACTTACAACAGTTTCCTGCAAGCAACACAAGACGTTTACCAACTGAGACATAAGAACAGTATTAATGTTTCTTACGTTATAATACTTCTCTATCCAGACAGCATACAAGCCGACATGAAACAGCAGAATGCGAGATGTTGAGTTCGCTTCGAAGAACCCATGAATAAGAAATATGTAACGTATAATGAAATTAAAACGATTTTATAAATACAATCAAAACACGAATTACGATTATGATTACCTGTTCAAAATATGCTATTTTGTAAAGTCCATAATTCCACGCTATAAAAATGGCGTGCTACTCCGATAAAGTAACGCATTCATTTCTCATCAATTTTCTTATTACGGTTAGGTTAGAATTCGTAATTTGAATGTAAGTGTTTAATTTTTTAGTTCGACACTGTGTAGTGATATGAAAGATTCGTTCAATTAAATCCACGAGTCCTTCTTAAAAAGATCTTGTCACTCAGCTAGTCAATTACCTCACATTTTATGAAACACGAGGGTTCATTACCGAGTTCCCAAAAGCCAGCCACCGGTCCCTACCCTAAGCCAGATGAACCCAATACACACACTCGTACCTTATCTATTTAAGATGCATTATAACATTATGCTTCCTAATAGACACATTCTTTCAGGGTTTCAAACGAAAAATGTGTACGCAATTGTTTTCTCCCCCATGCGTGCTATATTTTCAACCATCTCATTACAGAAAGCTACGAAATTTCGATCCGAAGTCAGAAATCGAAAGCATGAACGCTAAAGTGTCGTGTGTTCTGTACAACACTGGTGAATCGATGGCGAGCAAACATTCAGTAACGAATAAAGCGAATCTGAATTAATAATTTCGGAGAAAAAAAAATGAATCTGCATGGCTTACCAACTAGATGACTGTCGTTGAAATCCAAGCTGATACTAATCCAACGCTATTAAGACGCCAGCGTTGCAGATTGACGGTGCCTGTCTGTACTACACTACCGACATCAAACTTGTTCAGCAAACTTTTTAAAGTCACTCTTTTCTTTCAGATTCAGAACAAAATTCATCACACTGCAACTTTAATACAATGCTGTCGAGCGTTGAAATATTAAATTAGTATTAGCAATGCACCACCAGACTTACATAAAGGACATATGCAGTAATAATGTTATTTTCACACATTAATTCAGTTCACTTTCCTTTCACCTCCAGCTACATCACTAATCAGTGCGAATTGCAATTGAACACTTCATTTGCATCGCTGTAAATATATTCTTCCGTTCATTACACAATATTCCACTGCGCGAATGAACACACATACAAAGCACTTTTTACGTGTTCCAAAAGTTAAAATTTTGTTTATTTCTATTCAGTTTATACATATGAAAGTTCACACGATGCGCAAATTTGTAACAGAATATCAGGAAAGGGGTCTCGAAACGCATTCGAACGTCGCTGGGATTGGCCCATTTAGATCGTGAACGTCGCTCACGAGCTTGGCAATCGTTTCACCTTCCACTCGCACACCCAACGCAGCGACTGCTCGTGCCATCGTTAAGAAGCCGGCACCTAAGCGCGGGTCTAGCCGAGCGATCTCACGAACGCACCAAGTGCGCATGTCTCAGACCGACCCTTTCTGATCGCCTGCCCTCTAGCGTTGCCGTCTACAACCTTACATCGCAGACAGCCTAAAAAATTCGAGCATCAAGGTAAGTTATCCGAAATGCTATTAACTGGGCATTCGTACTGAAGTTTAGACCGCACAAAACCTAAGGCAGCTTCTCATCGCGAGGACCTGGGTTCAATTCCGGTTTGAATTAAAATGAAATTCATGGTGGACGAAATGACTGGTAAAGGTCCTTCAAGCAACGTAAATTACAATTTTTGTCTGTCAAGAGATGTATATAATACCACGTAAAATAAGACTGAAAGACAGAAGCGAATGTAACAATTATTTATTATTTAATTAAGAATAATAATCATTCTTAGTTTACTAATAAAAACAAAATTAAATAAGTTCGAAGTCCATCAGTGAGAAAGATACGATCAAATAAATGAATAGTAAAAATACAATTTTTTTTCTAGCCTGCAGTAGCTTCCTACTTCTTGTGTGCAAATTCCCATTAAATTCAAATGACGGACCTTATTTCACATATGAAGTCCTCATTTCAAACATGTACAAACTGTGATCCCAGATCTGATTACGCCCGCATGCAGTTTCTATTCATGAATTGTTGGGGAACACAATCATTTCAGCTCCCACATGGTCAAAGTGTTTTCAGTGAAACATGGCATAAGCTGTCAAGGTATCCTGAAAGTGAAATGCAGACAAATGTTCCATCTGAATAGCACGGAACAAATCAGACCTTTAGAACGAATTTCGATGTTACACTTTGAAGAACTGCTTGAAATCATAGAAGACCAACGATAGTTTGAAAATCTCTAGCAGCTTTGGAATGCATAACAAATAAATTTCGAAAAGAATTTATCGCGTAAAAAACATCTGGGTTTTTTTTAAATTTGTAAAATGTACTATTGTCGTCCTTGTAATCAGTGTTCTTAAAATGATACTCTATTTCGTAAAAAAATAAAAGTCTTAAATGTCAACCGTCAAAACTGAATTCCACAGATTTAATCAACAGCGTTTTCTGATTTACTGTGCACACAACGATATATTTTAAAAGAGGAGCATTTGGGATCTCTGAGCAATTATAACATTTTCTATAAGAAATAAATCTATTTTTGGCCTTTAGGAAAATCTTACATAAATAAAAACGAATAGCTCCACACATGTATGTAATATCGACATAGATATCGATATTTCTTATGCTTCACCCACTTTTATTAAAATCTATGCAACATCATTTTCGAGCACCAAAAGAGTTGATTTCTTTATTAAAGTTTTGAAATAAAATTGTTAAGCTGAATATAATTTGACTACATCAGAAACAGACCAAAGACAGTCTCGTTCTTGACTACTTTTTGTTGACACTGCGGCAGCAAACTCTGAGATATTTGAATAAAATAGCGGTAACTTCGCGTGATCAACATTGCGCATTGTCTCCTGATTCTTTGAATTAAACTCCTTCTCGCGATTTGACTCTCCTCCTGTCTTCAGGTGTTTAACGTACCAGCTAAGTATTCAAACGCCCTGAGTTCAATCTTCACCATTGCCGCTAAAATCACAATAAATAAGAAGTCACAGAAAAGAAAGTCTACTGACAATCAATCACCAGAAGATGGACAAAACCAATTCCCGAAACGTCGGACGGGGTCTATATCAAATGTCGAACAATAAACCATGTCCAACATAGCATTCTTATCAGAAATTATTTTACTATTCGATGTTTTAAAATCTATTCAATTGAAATAACGTCGCTAAATAACCTAAAAACCACGGCACTTTAGTTCAAATTATTTTGTCTTAATAGACATTCCGGGAGGCGAGGAGTTGAACCCATAAAATTTGGCATCAGTTCTGCACTCGAGATACGCGTCTCCAGGTAACTCGCCGCTCAGTATTCCTTTTGGGCATTAGTCAGAAGGACCTGTTCTGGGTGTGCGGTAACCAGGACACCGTCAGCGTACGGAGCAAGATACTCCTGTGAGCTGGTCCAGATTGCGCCTCAAGCCACTATTCTTGATTTTTGGCTGCATGGGTGCAAACAAGTCGATGGCCTCCAACCGAGCGAGCAGTCGTGCCTACGGTGAGCGTGCAGTAGAACCTATCCGGATGAGCAGAACGGAACACCGTTGTGATCGATCGAGCGAGAGTACACGCGCGGCATTGTGTGCCACGTCACGGGTCGTCACTCACGATCCTCCCCCTCCAACCCCGTCGTTCCCAGGTAGTGCTAGCCAGCTAGCCAGTCAGCGCCACCTGACGCCCCAACGTCCGGACGGCCCAGGTCAGCAGTTGGGGTCGCAAGGAAGACGGATGCGTGACGCCAACACGAGCACGGCGCGGGTGAGGGGCAGTGAAAACGTCACTGTATGGCTTCATGTTATTATATTGACCGGACCCTGTCCGGTCAAAAGGTCCAACCTTCCTAGAATTTTCAAACACCGACTGTACCCTAAACGACAGCTAATTTAGGGACAGATAATCAGTTTCAAAAATTTCATCCGTCTATACCTGGCGTGTTGATCTGAACGCAAGCGAGTCTGGACTTCCAAGGTGCAGTACGTTGTTAGCGGCCGTAAACACCTCTGAAACCTCCTTCAGTTCCTTCCAGACAGCACGGCGCAACAAACCGGAAGATATTTTCATACCACTACGTCGTCCCACAAAAGATTATATTGAACCATTTAAAGACTCTGTCAGTAGCTCAGATATAAACCGGCGATATTATGACCGATGAAGAATGAACTGGAAAGGATGTGGAAGGAAGCCGTCGTGACCTAATTAGAGGTATTATTCCGAGTACGAATATCAGGACAACACTTAAGACAAACTCGCAAGTAACCACCCACAAGATTACACGGCTTCATAATTCAAGTTTTCACTGTGTAAAGAAATCTTGTCACAGGGTTTCAGTGTTGTCAGACAACGGAAGTTGCACCTATAACTATTTTGTAGACCTACTATAGTGTAGTTTCTCTGACGTCATAGCTGAAATTGCTAATTTATTTCGACTGCGCGAAGAATTAGTTTCAATGGCGAAACTGACATCTGCAAGGTAAAATTAGTCACGTTTACAGAAACTGGATCCATGGACAACGCTTTCAAGTGTTATCACTGGAGTCCCTCAGTAAATACAAAAACAACTGTCGGCTGAAAAGTGACATGTGTATGAAAACACTGAGCGTCCCACTGAATCAACAGCAGAAGGAGTCTTGCTTACCCCGTTAATATAAAACCGGAGTTTCCCCCACTGACGTTACAATTTTTTGGTAGCACCAATTCTGCGTTTGTGATTGCAACCTATTCGTATAGCCCTTGGAAAAACATCGACCACGTCGGATAACAAGCAGAAGAGGTTCAACGAGTTACAGTCATCGACGTTTTGATGTAAGTTGAGGGAGGTAGGGACACAGATGTGATAAACTGAATTAAGACTGATCAAACTAATGAAACTAGGGGAAGGGATATGTGGACCTCCTGTGCGTGAGATATAGATGATGTCAAACAGAGTAATTTCCCGGGGAAAACAGTCTGAAATCAGGCGGAAGGGGGTGATTGGGAGGTGTTCCCTTGTGTCCGTCAACAGCTCGAAACGCTGTATGGGAATAAGGAACCCCTGCAGAAGACCCCCAGTATAGGAAGGCCAAAAACATATCTGACAGCCTTGCGACCGTTCAGTCAGCGAGACAAGGTTTATAAAAGTTACACACTCGCTACTGCTCGCATCAGACGGAGCCCCCACAATTTCACGTCACACCCAATCAGTATTCACATATTACATTGATATTAATTATACCAGAATCATTCAGAAAGCCTTGGATTCGAACCCAATCGTCACCACCAGTCTTAATATAAAAATATCAAAAAATCTGTCTATACAGTCATAAATATTTAGAGAATAAACATAAATAACATCAAAATCAAATGCTTTTCTACAAATAATGATGCGATAATGAGATATTGTCAACTATTCCCTTAGTTCCTTTTTACCTGTACTCGTTTAGCCCATAGAGAAACGAACGAAAGCTGTTAGAACAATGGAAAGCAGTGACTAACACATGAACGTACATATCCATCAATGCCGCTTGCGGGCTTCGAACCTGAGGCTAAATTAATGCAATGCTCGTCAACAAAACTAACCAGCAACCACTGAAAGGCATCGTTGACCACAACCACACACTGCTCGGGTCACTAATTCGGCGTATATGCTTACGTGTGCGTTAATACACATTTAATATGATTCGATATTTTTACCTGATGGTCTATCTGTTTATAATAAAGGGTTTGTTTGAACAGGACCGAATCAAAATTATAGAATCCATAGTAAGTCTAATGATTATAGTAGTCACGGATGCGACTAAGGATAAGTTTGAAATGAAATAATCGTAGTGTCTAAATACTTCCAAAACTTTCAAATTCTTCATTAGCAAACTTCCTCTCCTTCAATGCCACATAAGCTATTCAGTTGAGAAAGCGTCGTTAAACAAATCAATTCTAATTATTTTCGGCGAGGAGTACAAATCATGACACTTTTTCTCAAGTTACTTCCTCTGTCAGTTAGATACAAAAACAGTTGTCAGTATTCTGTTCTAAAAAAATGCTAGTACTCTAAATTAATTTATAAAACTTTTGTGCAAACATCTGCAGCACTCTACATTAGAGCGAAAACAAATATCAGTCAGCGAGACTGACACACTGTCGATACTAAATTGCTGATTTCATACGAAATATTTCGTTTACGATACAGTTTTAGGCTACAACTTCTTACGCACCTTCAGGTTAACAAAAAATCACGAACCTTTATAACATCACGTGGAAACCAATTAATTCTAGCTATGAGTATAGTTAACTACACGTACGCCATTATTTCTTAGATATTTCAAGTGCTACATAAAACTTTAAATACATTTTCT